AATTTTATTTGTCAATAAATATTGTTCTTAATATTTTAAAGTTTAATATATTATTTGTGTTGCTGTTTTGAGCTAAACTTTTTGCATCTTTATTTGTTTTATGGGTCATTTAACCATGGAGAGGTATATGCATTTAATTCAAATAATACTTTGTTGTTGGCCGTAAATGATTAAAGAAATTAGTTACTTTTAACTGTCAGAAATAGTCAAATATGGTGACTAATCTTAAATTAGTCAAACTTTAACTATTTACGTAGTAAAAAATAACTATTTAAAAGTGAAAACGAATATTTTATTAGTAAAAAATGCTGGTACTAATTCAAATAGTAGAATTTTGACTATTTCATTTTTAGAGAGTACCGATCGCGGCAAAGGCGGTGTGGATCACGTGATGTTCTTAAATCTCTCCTCTGTTGACTTACATGAAGAATATATAAACTCAGGTGGTCCTTTGCTTTGGTGTGAAACTACAAGTTGTTCGATACTAAAGAGACCTTAAATAGGTGGAAACAGCTGTCAATACTTGAAGTATTTTAAGTTAGTGGAACGCACTAAAAACATTATCTCTAGCGAGTTCCATTTTTTGGAATAATACCACTGGTAATATACTAGTAATGCGTCAAGGAACTTCCTGTTTCCTTTTTTTTCCTTTTTTCTGTGTAGTATAATTTAATTTGACCACAAACATATAATATTTAACACTGAAAAGGAGTTCAATTTACACCAGGTAAAATTTATTTTAATACTGTGTGAAAGTTAAATTAACACCATTTTAGTATTTGAATTTACACCGGCCAACGAACCATATTTAACACCATTTTGGTTTGTATCGATATAGACCATGTATGGTGTTAATTTGGTGTTAAATTGGTCATGAAATTTTGAACAGTGCATGAGGCAATAAACCCATAGCTCCTTTCTGTGATGTTCTGAAAAATGACCATCACAAAAACATTCTTGTTAATCTGTAGTACTTGGCTTCTCTGGTTAAAATAAAGTTAGCCAAATCTTTGTCTATCTCTTTTCCTACGGGGACATCCATTAATTACGTGAGACAAAAATGGGAGGAAGGGGTCCAGAAAAATCTTACCAAATCTCATTTTATTGGAGGGGGGTTCTCTACTTTTGATTTTAAAAAATATGTATTATAAATCAAATTTGTTAAAAAAAAATTTTTTTACATGTTGTCCGCGAAGAAAGTTTAATGGCTATAACCTTACGTGGGGGTCTACTACATCTTTTTGAGGTTAAGTGACTTATAAGTGTTTTTTTTTTTTACAAAAGTGTTTTTTTAGTTCCACCCTTACTTCCTAAGAAGTCCCAGAAGCCAACTGAATGGCTTGTGCGGGTTAGGGGTAGGAACGGACCGCGGGCTTAAAGTCCCCTCCGAAGGAGTTAAGGAGTTAAGTTATTATAATACCTACATTATTATAACAAACCTTAATCTTACTCCCAGACAGCACATGATATCTTAAAGACGTCTTTTTTAGATCTTAAATATATCTGGGCCGCCTGAACAGATAAAAAAAGATATCTTATGGATTTAATTTTAGGGATGTTTAAAAGATATCTGATAATGAAGTATCGGTACAAGCAGAGCCGTGCTCTTGCGGGAATTTTATTAAATATTATAATATACATATACCTATATATATATATTAGGGTGATTCAAAAAAAGCCATTTTTTAAAAATGAACCCGCACTGGCCTAAATTATAAACATTACATTAAAACTAAAATATTGATACCAAAAAATCTAAATTCGATGAATATTTAGAGGTCGCTCAAATCAATTTTCGTATTTTTGCACATTCGAGCCGCGAAATTATTACTGCACAAAATAGTAAATAACTCCGTTAGTTTTTAATCGATATTATTAAAAATTTAAGGGTTACCTAGTTTTTTAATACCCTCTGAGACAGTGTATTGAACTTTACGAAAAAAAAAAATTTTCATGAAAAAAAAATAATTTGTTAATAAAAACGTATCATCTTATAAAATAAGCAACAATTGGAATCGCACTATGATGGTACCGTAAAAAAACTAAGAAAATAACACTTAAATTATTTAGTATACAGAAAACCTGCCGAAAGAAATATTTTATTTGATTTATATAAAATATAACCTAAAAATAATTAAGTAATTTAGACTTTTCCCATTTTCAAACGATTTTATAAATAATTTATATCCGTTTTATTAATTATGACGTATTTTTATAATATTTCTTTATTTTTGATACCATATTTAATTAATTAAATGAGGTCCTTTTTACAACTAAAATAAAATAACGTTAACTACAAAATTATTCACTGCATTGATATGGCTTAAGCAGAAATTTAAATTTTATTAAAATTATTGACATACAACAATTCTCAAATTTTGATACCAAAATTATTTGATTCTGTCTAGATGTTGCTACTTAAATTGACATACCACAATAATAATTATCATTCTTAAATTTTGATAGTAGGACCTACTACCAGGTAGTTGATAAATTATATAATATAAATATATATATATATATATATATATATATATATTATTTACTTAATTCAAAAGCGTCTAAGTACCAAAACTAATTTGTTGAGAAATTAAAGAAAAACATCTTATACCTTGGTGGAGATAGATAGCATGCCGGATGGATGAACAAAGCTCTTTAAAGATTTTCTTATTTCGGGATCAATTTAAACTAACTAACAATGAAAATAAGTCATTGCGTAGAATTTGTATTTTTATTATTTCGGTTTACATATTTGCCTGGTTCCAAGCTCCAAATGCAACTTGCGCGCCCAAAAATAATTTGAAAACACTTCATTAACTTTATGTTTACAAAAATATAGATTTGCAAATAGAAGAGCTAATTTGTTTGGCATTTTTTGATAAAAGAGTACCTACTGAAACAAAAGAAAAAATGGTTGAAAAAATTAACATTAGAAACAATCATTGCAAAGAAAAAGATGTAGAGCAGTGGATTTTTTTTTATTTTAATTATAAAAAGGACATAAATTAATAACTACTTAGTGTAATTAATCAAATATGGTATCAAAAATAAAGAAATTTTATAAAAATACGTTATAATTAATAAAACGGATATAAATTATTTATAAAATCGTATGAAAATAGGAAAAATTTGAATAACTTAATTATTATTAGGTTATGTTTTATATAAATCAAATAAAATATTTCTTTCGGCAGGTTTTATGTATGCTAAATAATTTAAGTTTTATTTTCTTAGTTTTTTTACGGTACCATCATAGTGCGATTCCAATTGTTGCTTATTTTATAAGATGATACGTTTTTATTAACAAATTATTTTTTTTTCATGAAAATTTTTTTTTCCGTAAAGTTCAATTCACGGTCTCAGAGGGTATTAAAAACTAGGTAACCCTTAAATATTTGATAATATCGAATAAAAACTAACGGAGTTATTTACTATTTTGCGCAGTAATAATTTCGCTGCTCGAATGTGCAAAAATACGAAAATCGATTTGAGCGACCTCTAAATATTCATAGAATTTGGATTTTTTGGAATTAATCTTTTAGTCTTAATGTAATCTTTATAATTTAGGCCAGTGCGGCTTCATTTAAAAAAAAAGGCTTTTTTTGAATCACCCTAATATATATATATATATATATATATATATATATATATATATATATATAATGTTATTTTTCGATTTTTTTTACTTAAATTTCATAAAAAATATATAATTATATTTTATTGTTAATTATTTCAAGTGAAATTAAATTTCATAATAAATTTGTATTTTTAGGTTATTTTTCAGTATTTCAAGTGAAAATTGTTGCTTAAAACCAAGGCCTGGGTACAAGATTTTCAATCATTTTGTAGGATTCAATTGCTAGATATCTCTCGCTTATATTTGCTTAAAAGATGAGGTTGAATACGATTTCTTTATCGCTTGTCGGCCTTTGGATGAGATCAAAGTGTAGTTATCAGCTTAATATCTATCTATCACCTGTGTCCCGGGTGTCCATGGGGTGCCAGTATATTAAATTGATTTTTGAAATTGACTGAGGTTAGTGGCTTGCTCTTTTTCGTTGCAGGATAGTCCAATTCAGTACCGCTGCGCGATATTTAAAAAACTATTGATAACAAACCCTGTTGTACTGTGAGCCTGCATAAAGAACGTAACGCGCGTCTAGGGCGCCTAGAGGCGAGGCGTCTCTAGCGAAAAATTGCCATATTTGTATATTATATTATAATAATTAATTATATATAATATACATCCACAACGTGTATACCAATAAACTTTATAACAATACAATTCTTGGTAAAAAAAATTGAAGATAGGAATACGATGCAAAATGCAATGGATGCAATAGCTCCAGAATTTTACTTAAAATTTAAAAATACAATATTATTAAAAAAACAAGTTGCTGTTACTTCCGTATCAACAAAAAGTGACAGTGCATTAGACTTATTTAAAAAAAAAAATAGATCACATCGCGTTATAGGAACCAACATTTTTTTAGTTCTTCTTAGATGAATCAGTGATTCAGAATCACCCTGTATACTAAAAACCTTTAATTTTATTAAATTTGCCTTTCTAGTAGGATCTCTTTGTTCTTTCTCTTACAAAAAAGGTTATTTATTTAAACATTTACAACTTGGAATAAATTAACTTAAATACTTTTAACGACTCATGGTTCAATCGCCTCGTATTTACAAACTTTTTATTAATATTGAAGAATTAAAAACATGGTGTTTTAAAAATATTGTTATGTGGTTTATTTCGTTTTATGGCATACAAGAGACTTCTTTCTTATGTTGTCACACAATGATTTATAACGGACATAAGGATACAATCAACCCAATTTTTTAATCGCTTTTTTCTCAAATAAAAGTTAAACTTTGCTTCCTGAATTAGTCAAGCATTTCTATTGAAGGTCGCAACTGTAACAATACGATTTTTCAACCTTAAGGTTTTACACCTTTTACCCTCCACTAAATCCATATATACTATGCAGGAAAGCAAATCAATGGACCATAGCGTTACACTGCTAAATTTAACTATAAATACATTGATTAACGATTTTAAAAACAGTTCAAACATCAGCTTTAATCGAAATGCATTTGTTAGTTATATTTGCTGTTTTATCAGCTGGCTTTTGCGATGATTTTGGTCGCAAACCGATGTATAAATATCGATATGAAACCGAGGATTTGATGAAGACGGCAGCATCATCCGTACCTATCCATGGATACCATGTAGTTGAGGGCGGGTATTATCCTAGTGGAGGAGTTTCCGGCAGCTTTGGTGCAGGAGGTTTGGCGTCTAGTTTCCAAGGGGGCTATAGTGGTGGTGGTGGTTTTGGAGGACCTGGAGGAAGATTTACCTCTGTTGGGGGTGCTGGAATTGGAGGCATAGGAGGAATTGGAGGAATCGGACCTGGAATAGGAGGTGGTATAGGATACGGACCAGTTGGTTCAATCGGTCCAGTATCATCTGGAATCGGTATTGGTAAATTAGGAGGAGTTGGTCCTATTGGTTTTGGTGGGGGATACGGTGGATCCGGCCCTGGAATTGGAGCAGGTGGTCAATTTATCGGTGGCCCTATTCATCATCATCACCACCAACCCTACGGAGGCGAAGAAGTCGACAAGAGCATTTACAGTGGAGAAAAGAAAAATATAAATGACCAGGTTTACGAAAAGGCATCCGGAAAAAAGGGAGAGGAACTAAATCACGGCCAGGAAGGATATTCGCAAGGACAAGTCGCGGTTAAAGAAGGAAAAGGTGACAGTGGATACTACAGTGACGTAGAAGGGGGCAAAAAAGTTATCGGAGATGAGAAGCAATATCATGGTGCTCAACACTTCAACCAAGAAGGTATGCATCATAAAACCATAAATTGTATTCCATAGTATATTTTTAATTTGCAGGTAAAAATGGTGGTGAAAAGAAGCAACAATCCGGCCACAAAAAGGGACACAAAATTAAGGGTTTCAAAACATCCCATCACAAAGACGAAAGCGGTAAAACCGAAGAATACTTTGATGAGGCAAACGATGAAGGTGATAACTACAACTTTAACGGGCAATCAGGCAGCTTCGGTGAAGCAAAGGGAGCTTCATTTAAGGGAGGTCACGAAGATGGAAAATATAATCATGGAGAAGCCAAGAAGGAAGGTCACTACGACAATGCCCATCTAGTCGATAAGAGCAATGCTGATCATGGAAAATACGGCGAAAATAAGTTTGCTGGCAATGGAGTGGTTTACAATAAAAATAATGGATACGGTCAAGAAAGTCTTTTGGGACAAAACGAAAATAGCAGATTTTACAAACATCATCCCCATGTACCTTTTTACTAGATAACATGTTTAATTTTAAAATTGATAATGATAATTTATTATTGTAGATAAAATAGCAGCAAGTATTTTGTATATTTCTATCATTAATATTTATTGTTTTATATCCTTTCTAAAACATATCAACTTTTATAAACAAAAATCAATTTATTTAAACTTATTAAAGGAAAGGTTATTTAACAAAACAGATTTTATTACTAAATGCGGTTAAACTTTATCCCTCCTATTAGTATAAAAAACAAATATTAAAACAGTATGGAACCTTAAAATCGCCAATATCACTGTAATTAATTAAAACCATTTCATACAAAAATTTAGTTACATAGATGTATTTTACACCACTAAAATAACATGGTATGGTCCGCACAAGAAAAAATTATAATTATTTTTTGTAAAGGCCCTAACAGTGTTGCTTTTAATGTGTTAAAGATCTAATTGGTAACATTACAAATTAAAGTATTAATGTATAACTGGATAAAAAACAAACACTGTTTTTGAGTTTCACGAAATAATTAATTTAATTCGTGAAACTCAAAAACAGTTTTTGTTTTTTATCCAGTTATACATTAGTGACATGGAGTTTTATCCAGTAAAGGTCGAAACAATAAAATATTTAAAATAAATTAAGGTATGTTTATTGCATAATATTGGGTTTTTTCTTGTATAATTATTAACATTATAAATTCTCTGCCCAACAACGGGAATAATGAACTCATTATTCACATCAGTGATTGGCCGATTTCAATATTCATTGTGATTTGAATCAATCGGGTTACAAATTGGGGGAAGGTGACTATAATAATATTAAAATTGGTAAAAAGTTATGTTAACTATTTAAGAGATGTCACATTTTATTTATTTATTTTTGTAAATCATTTAATTAGGTATCTACTGATTGAAGTAGATAAATTATAGTATTACACTCGAGATTATGCGCATTATTTACTCGGATGATTTGAGTCTTTCGTCTGGTGACTCAAGACGCACACCTCATCCTCGTAAAAAATAGCCTGCATTATCTCTCTTATAATAAAATACTATTAAACTATTCAATGCACCATTGTAGTATTGTATTACTATTATGTATTCCACGGTACAAATAATGGAATAATACATATTTTGTTGTTTATCATATTATCCGTAAAGCTCCATAAAATGAAATAGGGGAAGGTGGGGGAATTTTGCGCGGTGGGTAATTTTACGCATAAACAATTCTTCCAGATATGAAGTAAATAATACATTTTTTGAATGTTGCAAAGTTGGAAACGTTGCTTTGGGTATACGGGGACTAAAGTGTACCGCAATTAAGCTTGTAGCTTTTAGCTAGTGACCATGGTCACTAGCTAACTGTGATACATGTACGTTGATCTAAGAAATCCATGTCGTTTCCGCTACGAGTTAAGTTTAAATTTCTGTCCAATAGCTTAAATGTTTATAACACAACTTTATATGATCTTTCCTCGTAATCTGGTGTATGTTTAAATTGTTCAGGTTAACTTTTGGAAAGTTTTTTAGTATCACAATATTTTTCTTGCAATGGGGGTAATTTTACGCTGAAAACTTGGGGTAATTTTGTGCTGCAAAATTTGGCCAATATGGGAGCTTTGGTATACAGGAGCCTAGATTGTTCAGCATAAACAGTTCCATTTGGGCACACGCGGAGTGTAGCGAAAAAAAAAACCCCTAAAACTACATATGTGACAAATGCTGCATGTAGACCCTCTTATTTCTAAGAACAAAAATTTTATTTTTAGTTATTTATTTTTGATTTTGTTTGTTTTGTTTGTTTCATAGAGAAAATAGTTTTCTTTTATTTTTATATTTTAATATAATAATATTATAGAAATAAACGGTTTATTTAGATACCTACAAATCTTTCTCTATACAGCGCAAATTTTCCCACTATGATGCGCAAAATTACCCTGATAGGTGGGTAATTTTACGCAAATGCATTATTTAAAAAAATGTAGTTTTTGCATACCAAACATTTTTTTTTATAAATTGCGCATAATATACACATAGTAAACATAGTAGACTATCGCTGGTATTAATTGCAAAATTTCACATTTAAACTTAACAAAGATACTAGAGATTTTGCTTAGATGCGCAGAATTCCCCCACCTTCCCCTAACCGCTAAAATTTAAGGATATTATGTATAAACTACGTACTGGAACGTTTCTAGGAACGTGCTTCACATACATATTAAGAGATATTTACAAAGTGCTTCACATTTAGAAAACAATATCGCGCAAGGGAGAGGTCCAACCCTTGTAGATACGTAGGCCGCCATTTTTACTCACCTAATGCATCTTTATACATCTATGGAAAAGAATATAATTTGGCTAAAATACTACCCTACTAAAACGTTTTTGCGATTTTTTTCAATTTTTCTTACTCAACCGAAATTTAAAATGCTTTTTAAAAACTGACTAAACATTAATCACAAATTTGTTGTTTTTAAACGTACTTTTCATAAAAATATTTATATATATTACTACGAGTGGGTAATCAAAAATATGTCAAATATTTTGAGTTGTAATGAAGCGAATATTGTTTGTGCTTGCTTTAAATTGTACAAGTGTGCAGCACGACGATATCTTACCTCAAAATATTCGACATATATTTTTGATTAGGTACAAGTGAATTTCGGAGGACAATTTTATTGAACCATTTAAAAAAACCGATCGGGTCAAAAATTTTGAAAAAATTTACAAAAACATTTTAGTGGGTAGTAAAAAATTTCAGCCAAATCTAAAGGGCCCCTTTCAAAGGGGTCGTGTTCAAAAGTGGTTGATTTGGCGTGGAATGCCCCATAAGTGTAATAAAAATATATGTACGCACTAATGTTAATACTATATATTTTAAAAGTTTTTGTTCTTGGAGTAACACCATCGTTTTCCGCCCCGGATGTCACCCATGCAAGCTTCGCCACTTGGTCATTTCATATCGAGTCATTTTAAATATTTTTTATTTATGTTCTAGCCTTCTTATAACTTTATTATCTTTAAAAAAATATCGATTTTAAAAATGTCGGTCTTAATTTTGGTCAATATCCTAATTCACTTTTAAACGAATAAATAACCAAAAATGTTGAAGTTTTTTATAAAAGTTTAAATAAGTCAGTATTTTAGTGTTGTTTAAAATTAATATGTAATTTTACAAAAATCGCAAACTTCTTGTATTCGTGTTTATTATTATTATTATTGAAAAAAATTGGCCTCGAAAAGTTTACCTTGGAGAAAAATAAAAAAAGGAGGTACCTATTTAAAAGGGCTGTACAAAAGACACATTTGGTAAAAAAGGTACATATGCTCTGCTTCTTTCCAATATATTATAGTATTGTGTGCGACTAGTGGGAGAAAATGTGAAAAAGAGGAGATTCTTTGAGGGCGTTCTCAAAAATTGTTTAAGGAAAGTAGATTCCAAATAGGCAAAAAAATTGCATGTTTTTGTAAAAAAAAATTGTCATTACTTATTATAGTAGTTTTTGACCCACACTCTAGTGGAATTGAGACATTATTTAATATATTTGACAAGAAATATTAATAAAAAAATACATATATTATCCGATAATACATTTTTTTAACTCAAACCGTTTCAGAAATAATAATAATAAAACATCTTCAGGAGCGCCCCTTTAGGGGCTCTGTAGGTCACTTGAGGGCCATTTGCCGACCTATATTCATATAAAGTTTTCTTCCTATTTTTGGCCTAAAAACCGCAAGTAGATTATTGCACACTATTTTCGGGACAACCTGTATAATATGTGTTATATATTTTTAAAATCATTTTGAAACAATCTGTAAAAATATATAAAGGGCATTCCAATAAGAATTTCCCCTGGACCCCCCAGTTTTCCCCTAGCCTAGGGGAACATGCGTGAAATCTTAGAAATTTCAGTATCTGTGAAAGCAATTTTGATCTACGCAATATTAAATGAAACCATATTGTTTTCACGTATCTCGAGTCGCTTAGTTTTAGAGTACCTCAGATTTCCACTAGCCTAGGGGAAATACTTGAAATCTTAGAAATTTCAGTACCTGTAAAACCAATTTTTATATACGCAATATTAAATAAAACGATGTTTTCACGTATCTCAAGTGGCTTAGTTCGAATCTCACTGTGGAATTTCCCCACTACGAAAAAGGCCTGCATGAAACTTCGATTTTTGCACAATTTTCTACGTTTTTCCCTAGGCTAGGGAAATTCTGAAGTACTGTGGAACATTTTTCTCGTCAGATATGAATTCAGGATTTCAAAATACGAAATTATATAAACTTTCTTAAGCAAAAATAGAACCTTCCAGAAATCGCAAGTTTTGCTCAGCTTAACACTTTTTTCCCTAGGCTAGTGGACTTCTGAGGTACTCTGGGGAAATTCCACAGTGAGATTCGAACTAAGCCACTTGAGATACGTGAAAACATCGTTTTATTTAATATTGCGTATATAAAAATTGGTTTTACAGGTACTGAAATTTCTAAGATTTCAAGTATTTCCCCTAGGCTAGGGGAAAAACTGGGGGGTCCAGGAGAAATTCTGAGACCGGATTCGGATTCAGCGGCTCAAAATCCATAGGAGTAGTATACTCACATGTTCATTCCACTTTTTTGTTATAATAAGTCAAGCCACGTTAAATGTATCAATCAATTTTTATTGATTTCATGGAAAGTAACGATAATTGTAAAAATTTGTAGATAATAACTAACAAAAAAAAAACACTTATATAATTTTTTTGAAATTCCGCAGATTTTATTGCTTTTAGTACCTAAAAATTTTACCATTGAGTCAAACCACAAAAGTAATAAAAAAAAATAAAAAAATTATATTTTTTCTAAAATTAAATCGGAACAAAGGAATAAAAAAATTGTACCTATAACACAGTAGTAACATCAAAAAGACACAAAAAATCGCCGGTACACGTAAACTTAATTATTGGACGTAGAATCCAGTGGTGTAATCAGTTTTTTAAAGTTAGCTCGTTTTCTTAAGATATTTAATATTTAAGTTTTTGTAACTTTTTGGTTTATTATTTGTGTACATTTTGAGAAATACCAAAAAGACACAAAAAAACGCCGGGACATGTAAATCTAATTTTTGGGTGTAGAATTCAGTGGTGTAATCCGTTTTTTTTAAATTAGGTCGTTTTCTCAAGATATTTAATTTTGTATTTAAATATTTTTTTATTTGTTATTTTGCTATATATATATATATATATATTTTAAGACACCATAATCCCTCTTAAAATATCTTTATTTGTTTTATTTATTTATAATTAACATTTTTGACGTATTCCAATTTTAAAATCTATTAAAATTTATTTATTTCTAAAAAATTAATATTTATCAATAAAAACTTTTTTTGTCAGTTAGTAGTATAAAATATTAAAATTAATTTATATTTAAAAAAATAAAAAAACTACTTAAATAACAAGTTGTAAAGAATGTAAAAAAATGTTTAATTTTATGCCTCTTTGAAGATTGACCAACAAAAATCAGCAAGCATCTAGTCAAATTTTTTGCCAGAAAACCGATCTTCAAATGTCATAATGGTTTGATGAAATCGTTCACCAGCTTCATCGGATTCGGTTGAAAGTTGTTTTTCATAAAAATTAAAATGAGCATGCAAAATTTTTACCTACATATTTATACTTACTTAACCACAAAACTTTGTAGCAAAGAATTATTTCAATTGTAAAAACTAAAAACAACATTTATACAGGCTGTACTTAGTCTATTTACTAGTAAATGAAATTCTCAAATTTTATTAAATTCGAATATTTCCCACTAATACCAGACAATAAAATTTACTAAAACAAATTTAATTACCAAAAAAAGAAATATGCGAAAAATCCGGAATCCGGAAAAATCTAATCAAATTAAAAAAATATGAATAATATCGGCTTAAACACGAATGTTATTAATTTAAGAGACAAAAATTTATGAATTAAAAATAAATACCTACAGACATTTTAAAACGGGTTATGCTATATTTTTCTTTAAAAATATAGCAAAATGGTGAAACAAAAAACTTAAATAATTAATATCTTAAGAAAACGAGCTAACTTTTAAAAAACGGATTGTACCACTAAATTCTACACACAAAAATTCAGTTTTATCTGTCCCGGCGTTTTTATTTTTGGTATTTCTAAAAATATAAACAAATAATAAACCAAAATAGTTACAATCTTAAATATTAAATATCTTAAGAAAACGAGCTAACTTTAAAAAACTGATTACACCACTGAATTCTACACCCAAAAATTAGGTTTACGTGTCCCGGCGTTTTTATGTGTCTTTTCAAAAGTTTGAAATTTACCTACAGTGTAATTGGTAACCTTTAAACTAAATAATAAACAATTTACTAAATTACACTTTTGTCTTGTAAAATACCTATGTACTATTTATAATGTGTATATTATAAATTTTATTATTGTTTTTTAAGTCAAACGCACAATTTCCATCCATTATATCGAAGTTACAGAAGCATGAACCTAAATTAACCAAAAAATCTAATAAAGAACTAAACAAAAAACCGCTAAAAAACAACTTTAAATTGGCCCTGAAGGTCAATCCAAACAATGCAAACAAGCTCGACCTCAGAGGTGGCACATTTTTTCTGGCAAAACCAAAATTTCTTCAATCAGACCAAATCTAATCAAGCAAATCTTTAACTAGCTATAAATAGATAAAACAATAGCACACCTAATCAGTGTTTTGTCGGCATTTACATAACAATGTATAACATTCTTGTATTCGCGGGTTTATGTTGCGTAGCCTGGGGTTATACGGTCCAGGACAGTTATCCCTTGGAATATAATCAAGGGTATTCGAGTTATCCTCAGTCAGAATACTTGGACGGGCCTTTAAGGCCAGCATACAGGCAACCTATCCCTTATCATTCAGGATACGCCGATGAACGATACATCGATGCTCCCTATTACCAAAGGTAAAAATTACATAATATGGATTTAAATTTTCTAGGTTACTTTAAAAATGAGAAGGTACCTACAAAATTATAATGTTTTTTTTAGGAAATTATTTATTATTAAATTATTTTTTCTTAAAATTTTCTTGTGTAGATCTTCTGGTTACCCCTACCATCCCCGTGGTGAAATCGTAAACAAGCAGCTATTCAGAAATGGACAGGAAAATTACAATGATGGGGTTTATGAAAAGGCTCATGGACACATTGGAGAACAAGCAGATCACGGTAGAAACGGTTACAATCAAAATCAATTCAGGTTAAAGGATGCTGTGGGAGATTCCGAGCACTACAGTGATATCGAGGGAGCCAGAAGGGCACATGAAAATGGAAAGCAGTATCAAGGCGCCCAGTTTCATAATCAAGGAGGTAAACCAAAGCTATTGCTACACTCACAGGCAAAATAATCGATCCACACAAATTTTCGATGAATTTCAATCGCAAATAACTTTTTTATTTGATGTCGGATTTAAACGAATATTAAAGAATATTGTAGATAAATTAATGGACAATCACTCACATTCTAAAAAATTACTAAAAAAATAGACGGACGTTTATAATATACAGGTTTAAAGAAAAAGATGTTTTTTACCATAAGTTTAAGACACTCTGTAGAGTGGCAAAACCGTATATTGTTCTAAATTAAGTTTTATTTATCAAGTCACATCTATTCTTAACAGTTTTGTTTTTGGTTTACCTCGATATATTTATTTTTGTGGAAAATATGGATTAAAAAAAAACATTGCAATTTCCAATATTTTTCTGTATGAACTAAGGTTGCTATGGTCCATCCATATGCTATGGAGAATGACAGTAGTGACAGTTTTGTTGAATCATCCCATACTTGGACATGTCATACACGGCTTTCAAAAGCTATCAAATTGTTTTTTGCAAATTATTGTTTAAATTTTGAGGTGTCTTCTCACTTTAAAAAATGGATATGTCCCCGACTGATGTTGCCAGAGCCATTAATTTAATCCAGGATGGACGGTCACAGTATTACGTGGCAAGTGTTTTAAAACTCACAAGAAGTAAAGTACAAAGGGCAACATCAGTCGGAGACATTTTTAAAAGTAAGAAGAAACCTCAAAATTAACATTAATTTACAAAAAACAATTTGGTACCTTTTGAAAGCTGTATATGACATGTCCAAGTATGGGATGATTCAACAAAACTGTCACTGTCATCCTCCATAGGCTATGGATGGACCATAGCAACCTTACTTCTTCATACAGGAAAAATATTGGAAATTGCAATGTTTTTAAAAAAAATCCATATTTTCCACAAAAATAAATATATCAAGGTGAACCAAAAACTAAACTGTTAAAAATAGATGTGAGTTGATAATTAAAACTTAATTTAGAACAATACACAGTTTTGCCACTCTACAGAGTGTCTTAAACTTATGGTAAAAAACATATTTTTGTTTAAACCTGTATATTATAAACGTACGTCTATTTTTTTAGTAATTTTTAAAATGTGAGCGATTCTCCATTAATGTATCTACAATATTCTTTAATATTTGTTTAAATCCAAAATCAAATCCGAAAGTTATTTGCGATTGAAATTCATCGAAAATTTGTTGGATCGATTATTTTGCCTGTGAGTGTACTTATAACTTATTTATCTAATCTAGTTAAAATATTGAACTAAATTTTTTACAATAGTTTTTTATTGGTTAAAATAATATTTTAGTATTTTAGCAATTGTGTAAAATTTTATTAAACCCTTGTTTTAATATTCAAGGCCAAAACGAAAACAAAAACAAACAGCAACAAGGACATAAAAAGGGCCACACTGTTAAAGGATTCAAACACTCGCACCACAAAGACGAAACAGGAAAAACCGAGGAATACTTCGACGAAGCAAACGACGAGGGCGATAACTTGAACTTTAACGGACAATCCGGAATATTCAAAGAGAACCAAGGCTCTTCCTTCAAAGGGGAACACGAGGACGGGCTAAACAACGAAAAGGTGCACAAAACTGCCGGTTACTATGACAACAATCATTTTGTCGATAAGGTTAACACTGATCACGGAAAATTTGGCGAAAATAGATTTTCCAATAACGGTCGCGTCTATGGCAGGCATAATGGGGTAGATCAGGAGAGTTTGCTAGGCAGTCAAGAGACCAACAAATTCTACAAGCATTCGCCTTACCTGGACAACTTTTATAAATACAAAAAATGATTTAAATTGTTAGATTAAATTTACACCACGTTCCTATACGAAAATGTTCACAACTCTGTAGTTTTACTAATAAAAACACTATTTATAATTTTTCTTTTTTTAGGGATTTTTTAAAATCCTTTTAATAAATAAAAAAATTATTCAATTCATAATACTGGTGTATGGTAAAAGGGACAAAATTCAGTAATGGGAGAAAACATGTCTCTAGCTCCAAAAAAACTTAAATATGAAGTTATAGTGCAATTTACTTAATGAAATGTCTTCAATATTAACTGTTTTAAATATTTAGTTACTAATAGCTTCTATAAATGAGGAGGTCCATTCCAAAACTCGGCTTATCCAATTTTTAAAAATGAGTTAGTGGTTTCTGTACATTTAACATGTATCTCCCTATACCCTGAAAAGTTCATAATATTCTAAAACTCACCTTATTCCATTTAAAATTCATTTACAAATTGACTATCGTTCCAAAACTTGCCTTATCTATTGGTTATATCATGCAGAACTCGGCATATACGTATGTAATTGGAGCTATACCTTTTTAATCAAGGTATATAAATGTTTGGCTTATGCCTATATATTTCGTTTAAATTATTGTATTTTCCTGATATGCGTTAGTACTCATGTGTAAGGTTCTTGACATTTTTCTCAAAAACAACTATGGAATGCACCTCCTCAAATATCGTGTGTTTTAAAAATCTGATATATTAACCCGTATTAACGTAACGACCCGCCGCCTTTTTTGAAATACAATCCATATTTGTATGTACATTACCTTAATTAAGGAGCATCCGTGCAAAACCGGCTATATCCACTTTAATAAAATGTTGGGAAAATGGCAAAAACTCTCGGTTTCCTGGCCTTTACAGATATAAAAAAAAGCAAACTTAAGTTTTGTGGGATTTATGGTACTTGATTTATAAGACATACTTTCGTTTTCAAAAACTTTATATTAAGGCCAAAATTTCAAAAAATGTTTTGTATATAGCCGGTTTTGCTAAAAAATCTACGAATAAAATGAGAAAAAAACCTGTATTATTCAAAAATATTAACAAAATAAATTTAGTGAAAACATGAAAAAACAGAACAAATTTTTAAACAGCTATATTAATACTGCAGCTTCTTCATGAAGGCATAACCAAACACTCAAACGGCTTCGCCTGGTTACCGTATCAGCCGCCTAGTATCGACATTTCCAAGCCACATGCTCATTATCATTATTATTTATTGGATATAGCCGGGTTTGCTATAAAAACGTGGATTTGGCCGGTTTTGCTCCTAAAGCTACCTTTTAAATGTGATTTTAACATGGATATAGTCGGATTTAAACCGAATTATCTTGGTTGTCGATAAAAATTAACCCAAAGATGCGAAATCAAAAAAAAAAACAAAAACTGAAAAAAATGGATTTAGCCGGATGCTCCTCAATTAATCTTTGCAAAATATTTTTTAGTTAATATAAGAACTAGTAACTTACGATATAAGACTTGGAAAATCTTATACTGGTCTTAATAAAAAAATAATATCATGTCTCCCAATTTAAATCGAGCGCTTCTTATATTAGTAAAATGTATTTTAAAATTTGGCCCCCGCCCCTCAATTTAAATGTTTTTTTGAAAATCAATGTGCCCAATTTTAAAGTCATGGTCCAAAAAAATTATTTCTCAAAAAAAAAAAATTGTATAACCGTTTTTTTACCTTCGTCTGAATAATATCATTTTTATATTTAAGACGGCTCTGGGGCGGTGGAAGGAATTAAAAAAATAATTTTTTTTCACCAAAATATTTGTTTTTATCATATAGAACTTCTATAATAGAAGTTTTCTATATACAGGGCCTGTATATAGAAAACTTCTATTATAGAAGTTCTATATGATAAAAACAGGCGTTTTCTATTTTAAAAATATGCATTAAATGGGGATACTTAAATATTCAAGTAATAAAATTCGATAAGAAAAACCTTTTTGTTTGGTATAAATTTAGTTTTTTTTTTTAATCAAAATTTATTTTTTCATCAAAAACTTAGTAGGCCATGATGTAAAGAATACAAATGCTTATATTGAGGTGCTAGCCGAGGCTGCAAATCGGAGCGAGGAAGTTAATATGCTTTCTCCTACCTACTATTTTTTTAATTGCTTAATATTTTTTATATTTATTACTTTGTACATTGGAATTCTAGTTTTTCGAAATTTTGCCATAAGTGAAGCCTACACAAGGAGTACGAACTCAATAGGGGGAATTGATCGAACCTACCATCAATGGCACAATTTACCTGTTCTTTTTTTACCACTAGCGGCGCTGATTTCCATTTTGTACTGACGTCTGCTGTTTTGATACTGTTTCGGTACAAACCAAACCACAAACACCAGCCCCCTCTTTTGAGAAATCATTTTTATACATGGAGTTTGGACTCCTTGTGTAGGCTACATGGGTAGTTAATGTGGGCGTTTATAGGTTATGTGCATGAATTTATTTTACAGTAACCTGTAATTTTACAGTTGCCCACACTGATTTAAAGTTAAATGCGATTGATGGAACCACTGTTCACATATTACTTGAATATATATCTATTAGTTAAAGATATATGGTAATTTCAAAGACAAGGAAGAGACAAAGAGAGTGGTCGCGTAATCTCGATGCGTAATCAGAAAAGTTAAAAAACTTGACCGAACTGTCAACAGTGCAGACCGCATATTTGTTTATTTAGTAACTGTTATTTTTTTAATTTTATTTTACAATCTGTAAGAAACAAAGTACCCAGTGCCGTAGCTACAATGGTTCCGTGGGTTCGGTGGAACCAGGCCCGCAAGCTCAAGGGGCCCGCGGCCAGCGATTGGAATAACAAATTTTTTTTTTCAAATATTTGGATTAATTGTTTTAAATATATTTCAACATTTACAGGGCATTTATTTACAATAATGGCTTAAGGCTTAGTAAATAGTAAAAGACCACCAATAATAATAATAATAATAATAATAATAATAATTTTTGCTTGAATCATGTAAAAGCGAGTCAAAATTAAAACTTAAAAAACTATCAACAACCCGTTGGTCTTCACGCAATGATGCAATAAAGCCCTACGTTTTAGGTATCTTCAGTTCTTAAGGCCTTGTCAAAAATTATTTTAACATCCAATAATAAGGCTGAAATAGACGAATTGAAAGGATTTTAAGGTACATTAGAGACTTTGAAACAGTGTTTTTGATTATTTTACAATCTAACATTTTAAATCGACAAAATCAGTAGCAAGATATCCAAAAATCTAGTAAACTTATAAAAAATGTGTTAAATGACATAAGCAAACTTCGGAATGAATTTTTAGATATAAAAAAGAGGCCGATATTACATCAAGTCAGTGGCGGCTCGTGGGTGTACAGGAGGATGAGGCTACATAAGGTTAATTTTGTCTAAATACGAATAAATTTCCACCCGGGAGGTATTATTCTGCGACGCGTTGACCTTTTTTAAAATGGAGGTTATCGCCGATAGCCCTACTAAACCATTATAAATAAAAAATAAACTCTAAAAAACAAAACAAACAAAATATCACATCAAATACTAGTTTTAATCTTAAAACTTAAAAATATATTCTTAAAAAAGTTCAAAATAAATAAATTAATCAAAAAATAAAACTAAAACTAAAAAGTCGACCCCTACCTAAGTATTAAAAAATATAAAATACTATAGCTACTTTTTGTAAATTAAATCTATACGTCTATCTTTTAAGATTGCAAATTTATCTATTATTTGGTCGTAAAATTGTGGGTCTGCAGTGAGATTTAAAAGTAATTCTAAATTTTCAAACCGCGTCTCTCATTGAAGAATTATACAATCTATTATTTGAAAATATAAAATTTTCTTAATAAAAACTGCTAAATCTACCTTAGTGTGTTCCCTACAATAATTAAATAAGTAATTTTACTAATCGAGACAAAAACTATAAAAGATCAGCCAAAAGTTTTAAATAATTTAACTAATCTGAATCAAAACAATAACGTGCTCTACAAACGCTAAGAGAACACTGGCATCCCACCATTGACGGACCCCCACAAGCGATTATCATCGGTCATTTGATAAAACCACAACACCCAACAAGCCAAGCTAACTGAATTTCGCCTCATCTACGACTGAATCTACGGTATTTATTCGCGAACTTCCGGCGATATTTTTGTTGGTGAGTCATTTTTGCTTTCTAGAGGTAAATGGGAGCATCCGAGGCTGTGAAAATTTCGCCTCTGTCCTATAGCGACTCTCAACGACGCACGTTACCTTGACGCGCTTTGCGCCTGGATTTTTATTTACGCTTAGTATGATTGATTGTTTTTTTACTTTTTAGTGGGTAAAACTGTTGTAAAAATATACTTGTAATAGGCAAAAATCACCTAGAGGCCCGTGGGTATAGCCTGGAACCCGGGCCCGTTGGGTTGTTGCTACGGATTTAAGTACCTTAAATTAAAAATAAAAACGAAGTCAGAAATATTAATCAAAATTTATGGTTTAAAAAAATAAAATAAAGATATTTGGAAGTAAAGTTTTTTAGAATGGAAAGGTGTAAATGCTAATTAAAAATTTTTAATTAGCATTTACACCTTTCCATTCTAAAAAACTTTACTTCCAAATATCTTTATTTTATTTTTTTAAACCATAAATTTTGATTAATATTTCTGACTTCGTTTTTATTTTTAATTTAAGGATTAAATAATGGAATAGAAGAATGGAAGAATTAATTCAAATTAACATAGACTTAGCGGTACCAATTCTGAAGAACTGTTTTGCTAGCTATACAGGGTGTCCCGGAAAATGTGGGAAATCTCTCGGATTCAGATAGAACATTAAAAAATAAGATGACAAGTTCCCATAAATTTTTTTCCTAGCGGCCCTCCCTACGGAGATACGGCCTCCTAAAGGACGCCACTGGAAATCAGATTTTCTTGAATAAACAGTAGTAAGGACCTCTTAAAATACTGTCCTTAAAACATAATTAGCTTGTTTAGTTTACCAGGGGCGGACTAGGTTGTACATTTTAATGCTTACATTTTTAACACCCTGTATGATAGGGAGTTAAAAAAATAAATTTGGATACCTTGAACATTAAGCTAAAGAAAAGGTACTCTTGTTTATTGTCGATAAAATTAACCGTTTTCGAGAAAAAAAATAAAAAAGAATTAATGTTTTATTTTTATTAAAAAGACCATGATTTCTAATTTTAAAATATAGGTCATGTGATATATCATAAAAAAGTTCTCTAATAGGCCTTTAAAATAAGCCATCACTCACCTTTCTACTTTTAATAGTTTACGAGATATCGCTATTTTTGTAAGTACTTGCAAGACCCAAATTTATCGGAATTTTTTGATTTTCAAAAATCAATAAAACAAAAACCACCTATCGAAAAAAATTCATATATGGGATTTTTGAGTTTTTTAGTGAGGTAAACAAATTTACCAAAAATGATCAAAATCGGAGATGGTGGGGGAAGAACCTTTGGTTGACATTAATTCTTTATTATTTTTTTTCTCGAAAACGGTTAATTTTATCGACAATAAACAAGAGTACCTTTTCTTTAGCTTAATGTTCAAGGTATCCAAATTTATTTTTTTAACTCCCTATCATACAGGGTGTTAAAAATGTAAGCATTAAAATATACAACCTAGTCCGCCCCTGGTAAACTAAACAAGCTAATTATGTTTTAAGGGCAGTATTTTAAGAGGTCCTTACTACTGTTTATCCTATTAAATTTTCATTAAATTATATTAAGTAGTTTAAAAGTTATTCAAGAAAACCTGATTTCCAGTGGCGTCCTTTAGGAGGCCGTATCTACGTAGGGAGGGCCGCTAGGAAAAAAATTTATGGGAACTTGTCATCTTATTTTTTATTGTTCTATCTGAATCCGAGAGATTTCCCACATTTTCCGGGACACCCTGTATATAGGGCCGGTTTTTCAATCGTTGGTTAAGTTTAACTTACGGTTAACTTTCTTAGATACTATTGTGTTAACAATAGTATCTAAGGAAATTAACCGTAAGGTAAAGTTAACCAACGATTGAAAAACCGGCCCATAGTGTAAAATAAATAAATAAATAAAAAAATAAATAAATAAAAAGGATTTTGTTTTAAATATGTCTATACATTTAAAAACATACCAAATAAAAAACCTTAATATTATTGTTTGAGTGTTTGTGTCTTGTAACTACTTATCTATTTTTATACATTTAAGTATACTTACACAAGGGAGTAACTAGGCGTGTGGGGGCCCCGGGGCAAGGATGTGAATTGGGGCCATGGATAAAATTGAACCTAAAATTTTATCCATACAAGATTCAATTGACGCAAGAACTAAAGCCGCAAGACCACGGACTAAGCCGCACATTTGCCGAATGGGCTCTAAAGCAGTTGGCGACCGATCCAGCTTTTGGAAAAAAAGTAATTTTCAGCGACGAAGCGCATTTTTGGATGAACGGCTTTGTAAACAAACAAAACTGCCGAATTTGGGGCGATCAGAACCCTCAAGTAACCCAAGAGATTGCCATGCATCCGGAAAAGTGACAGTGTGGTGCGCATTCTGGGCGGCTGGTGTTATTGGCCTGTACTTTTTTGAAGACAATCGTGGCGCAGCGCTAACCGTCAATGGAGACCGTTATCGTAATATGATAACTGATTTTTTTTGGCCTAAATTAAATGACATCGATCTTACGAATATCTGGTTTCAACAAGACGGGGCTACGTGCCACACTGCACGCGCAACTTTGGATTTGCTGCATGAAAAGTTCAACGGAGTCATTTCACGCGGCGGCGATATCCAGTGGCCACCGAGATCATGCGATCTAACGCCGCTGGACTTTTTTTCGTGGGGCTACGTAAAGTCCCTTGTATACGTAAATAAGCAACGAACAATTGAAGCAATGAAGGCCAACATATCTCGTATAATAAATGAAATCGAACCCGAAATGTTCGAAAAAGTGATAGAAAATTGGACCTGCAGAATGCGCGCTGTGGAGCGCAGCCGCGGGGGCATTTGAAAGATGTTATTTTTCATAATTAATGCCATAAGATGTTCTTTTAAATAAATATATTTTTTTCCTAATATCCTTATTTCATTTTAAAGTTAGAGCACTCTTAAGTGGATACCCTTTACTTGTCCTGTCCACACCTGTCAATTATTAAAATTATCTCTACTTTTATAAAATATTTCTTGCGTTTTTTAAATTTAATGTATAGCCTAATAAAAGAAGAATATTTTTGAAAATTTTGATGCCAAAATATTATATAATAAATCACCTACAATTTTTTGTGATTTGTTCCGCCCGCATGAATGAAATGGCCCGTAATCACTGATGCCTAATACCTATAGAATACTTTTTTATTTGAGAAATCAGGATTACGAATAATATAATGGATTTTTTTCTGCTGCCTGAGGACTTTATTTTTTGCTGTAAGACATTTAATTTATTTTAAGTTTTGGGGCCCCTACCCCAGGGGCCTTGGGGCGGTGCCCCGGCTGCCCCAGCCTAGATACGCCACTGTACTTACACTTTATTATAAAAATATTCTCTAGCAAAGTAAAAACAGTTCGTAATATACCGAACCTTCGGTAGGGTTAGCAACACTTGTTCAACCGCAAGGAAAAAGAGATTTGGGTGCAACAATGAATAATCACTCGAAGAAAGCCTATTAACAAATCTTATCATTTGGAAGTAATAAAATGTTGGACAAAGTGTCCAAGGAAACTCCATTGAAAAATATAACGTTTTTATTCCAAGAAAACTCTCCTTTATTCAAAATGCCTTTGGCTTATTGACTCACCCTCGTAGGTACATTTAAAATTAAGGTGTACATTCGAACATATGCCAATACCAATAGATGGCATTTCCATTTTTTGTCAAAAAATATTTTTATGCATTGTTTTAATACAGCAATATTTTGCAGTATACAAGGGTGTATAAATGCTATATCTATACTATTAAAACATTTTTATTATTATATTAATCTTTAAAAGCAGAGAACTGTTTAAATATGTAATAATTAACACATACATTAAATAAGCAACATTTTACAGTTTTATGGATAATCATGATCAGTTTAAAAATAATTTTTATATTTTTAATCTAAAAAAGTGACAAAAAGTTGACTTTTATGAAAATACGGAGTGTTTATCTAAATATATAGGAATATTTTAATATTTGAACCGGATTGTGATTTGAACGATTTTGTAAAAATATCACCTACAATATAATGTGAAAATGTCACTTACAATGTTATAGCGTGAAACACGGGTGGCTTTAGCTCACTTTCAAACTTAATCTTAACATTTTTGTAGTTAGTATAATAAACATTAAATATTGTATACCAAAATTTGAGTCTTGAGTTTCTCTTTCTTAATAACTATGTTATAATCTTACACAGGGCTGAGTTTCAAAAATAAAAATTAAAAACTGGGTGTGCAAAGTTACCCCCTGGTTGCGGGTTACTTTGTCTCACAGTGTATTTTCCGTATAAAATTTTATTAGACATAATATGTTAGCAGCGACATATAGCAATTGCAAGGAGTTACCGATAAAAACAATAAAAATTCGACCTGTAGTTAACCACGGATCATCATTCCAAAGAATTGCGCATAATATAGAAATTGAAACGCGTGTATTTTTAAGAGTTTTGCACTAATGCAATGTATACAATTTTAAAGTGTAATAAATCCCATTTATTTTTTTAAAACACTGATTTTCCTGTAATATAAACTCAATAGAATCGCTCAATTGACAGGTTTAGACCAACAAATTATAAATGTTAATTTTATCGAGCGCGAAAAGATTTTTCATAAAAGGGCTAAAGTCACCCGCGGGGTGCAAAGTCACCCGTGTTTACGGTATACACAGAATAATATTAGTATTTGGGTCAATTTATATAAAATTAACCAATGATGGTTGCTGACAAAATTTATTTCTATTTTATTTTCTTACCTGTTTGTACTATACTCAGATAGTTGAAACCAGGTATAATACCTGAGGTATTCATTAATTTTGTAGGTGTTCTTTACTCTTTATAGGTCGCATCAGTCTATTTTGCATATTACATAGGTTTGAGTTAAACGTCTTGGTTTATAAAGATATTTACTTTAAACAAAAACCCAGTTAAAGAGCATAAAATGTACAATATTTTCTGTCCCGTATGTATAGGCCTACTTTATTGTTAAAAAAACAAAAAAGGTAAATGTTAACGTTTTTTAAATGAAAACGTTTTCTTTTACAATTAAAAATGTTCCGGATAAAACTAACTCATCTTCAATTTTTCTCTGGATATAGTATTTATTCAGTAAAAAGTTTTAGGTCTTAAAATTTTTTTTATTGGGTCTTTAAATGTTGCGATTCGTCTAAAATCGGGTATTTTCAATATGAAATATCTCAGAAGGGAAAGACTTTCAAAATCCAAACTTTTCATAAAACATTTGTTCTACTCCCATCTCAGTCTCAGTAATGACATTGTAAGCAGTTATTACAACACAATAAAAATTTTGTATTTTTGTCCCTTCCGACATATTTCAGATTGAAAATACCCTCAGTGGTGAAATTGTAATCATTTATTACAACACAATAAAAAATGTATTCTGAAAATTTCGGATTTGAGGTATTTTAGAAGAAAAATGAGAAAATACCCTATTTTAGACAAATTGTAATATTAAAAAACTATGCAACTCTTAAGACCTAAATAATTAGTGAATAAATCAAGAGAAAGTCTTTATGTTGAAAACGTTAATATTTACCTATTTTGTTTTAAATCAAGCCGATAAATACTAGACAGAAAATATTGTCTATTTATACGTGGTTATAGTACTAACATTAATCCTCAATCAAGGTACGTAAAAAAATAAGAAATAATTAAATTTTGTCAGCAAACTTTTTAAATTAAATTGATTGATTTGATATGGATTGACCTATTTACATTTGTAATATTTTTAAGGAACCGTTTAATATGTAAACTATCCCAAAAATTATATTAAAATACAAGTGACATTAAAGCCAAAAATACAGAATAATCGATGGGTGTGAAAAGTAAAGTAAAAAGTAAATAATAATAATATGTAATTGTTTATTTAAAGTGTGATGAAATGAAATATACAAACATACATAACTAGCTTTGTCTTAAATAAAAAATTCTTTGGTATGGCAAAAAATGTTAAATAATGACTAGAATTGATTAATTAATAGGTAAAATTATGCCTGGGAAAAATTGCAGTTGCCAGTTTTTCACTTGGGTCGGACTGATTGCGATAATGTCTTGTCAAAAATAGACCTAAAACCTGAAAAAATATTTATTAGACTTTATTTTATTACAACTAATAATATACAAAATTGTATTAATACACTAATTATTGACTGGATTATGTTTTTATGTATTTATAGAAAATTATATTACATCTAACAATAACACTACAAAAACAAAATTGCCCAAAAAATGTCATATAGGGTGAAAAAGGACCAAAACCTTAAAAAACTCCGTTAAGTTTGCTTGTAGCAGGTCGGGCTTTAGAGAAATAAACAATATAGGGTTAAATTTTTTCATTTCAGTTCATTCATTAATGTTTTGCATCCCAAACCCCTTATAACTTATTACATAATTGGAAAGATGAGATAATTTTATTTAAAACATAACTTTTCAAAATTTGTCACTTGCCCAACCCAACTCAACTTTATCTGCAAAATATATTGGTACCCAATGACAATATATGTAGGTTATCAAGAAATTTTCATTTTTTATTTTGGTAATAAATTATTACTAATAGCTTAATATTAAATTTAAATGGTACTTTTGAAAGTACTATTACTAGTAACCACCACTGGTCTGCCACTGTGACTGAGTTAAGTATACTTTTTTTAATCAGATTTCCTACCTATATTTTACCTAAATTGTGCCAAAGAGATATTAAAAAAAAACTAATTGAAAATAACCACAGAAAAGCTTAATTTTTATTGTTATTTATTATTATTTTTACCGTTATTTATTATTATTTTTACCATTGTGTTTTTGTGACCTAAAAGATAATTAATATCACAATTTGTTGTGGCGCTTGTATTGTTTTTTCGCAAATTGTATGTACTAAAATAATAATATATTTTTATCAATATGCAAACATTCTAATTCGCATAAATATTTATTTAATAAAATGGTACTTTAACCAAGGATTATTGATAATGTAGCTATGGGTCCCAATTAAAATAACAAAAATTAAATTATACACATTCATAAAAAAATTTCCCTGTATATAAGGAAATTAAAATTTTTTAAATAAAATTTCTGCAATTTAAAAAAATTATATTTAATTTATGTCCGATTTTGATGAAAATTTTAAAAAATTTAGCTTTTAGGTATATACTTTATTGTGTAAACATGCGATTAAATAAAAATTGACAAATGGCACAACCGCGCGTGTCAAAAGTAATTTTTGTTCCTGGCGTTTGTACGACTTCTTAATTAAATTATGTGAAAAGTAATAAATTAAAATATGTGCTTATGGGTGAATATTTTAAAAGTGTAATTCAATAGGTTCTGGCTTGTTATTTCAAAAGTTAATTTCCCTCTGAAAATAAAATACTTGATGCCTAGTTTAATTAACTACTTTTACTTGATTCCTTATTTTAGTCTAAACGAGCATAGTAAAAATGTATTTTAAATTTTGTGTCGCAAACGTCATTACCGTGCCTTGTTCACATTGGAAGAACGACAACATATTATTTACAAATTAAATCTTGCAATATCCCGTCCAATTCAGACGGAGAAAATACAACATAATGCAATGCGAGCAAGAAAGTGCATTTTAAAATGTTAACTTTTCTTTTAATGCCGTTTAAACCTTGTTCACACCCATGAGCGTCATTACCGTGCCTACTTAAAATGTATCTAATTTCATATTTAAATAAGCGATCCATTCGGAAAATGACAGAAGTGTCCAAACGTCTGATATGTAAATATCCTGCCTGTCGAACGTCCACTAGCATATGTCAAACTATAAAGTTGTGACGGGCGCCGAATGAAATCGAAAACGGCTTGTTACATCATCACATCAAGTCCGTCATTGTCGGGGCAAGTATAATATCAAAGTTTATGGACATACCAAATATTAACATTAATACAAAGGAGTCTTGCATTAACAAAAAGCAAATGGTAACTTGAATATTCCATTACATTATTGAATAAACATTGTAAAATCATCATTACAGTGCTCGTCATTGTCTTGTCCCCACATGTAACCAATTTAAAATATTTAATTTCAGTGGGAAATTAATTAAAATGACCAAACCACGAAACAAGTTGACCAACGAAGCTAAAAGTCAAGCAGAACGTGAGAGACGCAGAAGAATAAGAGATGACCAAGTAAAACCGTAAGTTCAACTTTCTAAAAAAGAGAAAAAAGAAAATTAACTTTTTTAGTCTCCACCCATACAGCACAAGATGTCCAATGGACGTCCAATGGATTTACAATGGACGTTTGGATGTACAATGGCCGTCCATTGGACGTCCAATGGATATATGTGCTGTGTGGGCATGTCTATGTTCATGAGTGGAAAAGTCCTAAAAGTGCAAAATTAATAAGATTTGCATTTTTTTATGTCTTAACGAAAATGGTTCCGAAAATCGAGTTTTAAAATATTACCCTTTATACGAAAAAAAAAAACAGTTTGACAAAATCTTAAAAATATAGAGTGTTGGCCATAATTTTTGCAACCACTGTAAAAAAATCTAACTTTAAAACTCCTTCATAATTCTTTATAAAATTTTGTATAAAAAATTCTTCAACTTATATCTCAGTTTACGTGTTCGAGGGTTTTTCGAGAAAATATTTTGAAAGCCCTTTTAGATAATAATTAAAAAACTTTTAGGGAAATTTTTTAGTAAATAAAAAATATACTGTTTGTTAGCATACCCTGAAAATTTTGAACAAATCAAATGAACAGCAACGAAGATACAGCGGTTTAAAGTCGTCAATTTGACCACTCTTCAGCAAAATAATCAAAAAGGGGCCATTTTTACCGACTTTGAAGCTCTGTATCTTCGTTACTGTTCGTTTAATGTACACATTTGTGGTCCATTAGAAGTTTAACAAAATGCCACTTCCTCTTTAACCGGAAGTGAGATCAACTTTGTTATTTTAAATGAAACACCCTATATATTTTTACATTTTTAAATTCAAAATTAAATTCTGAGTAAAATTACTATACCATGTCCTATACCTAAAGTGAATATTTTTCGAGTTATTAATTTTTTTCTTTAAAATTTAAGAAATGCGCGTCAATCAAAAATAGCCTATTACTTTTGTTATCAGGTTTGCAAATATAGGGTTGACATTTTTGGAATCTTAAAACATTGTTTAAAACATTCCATGTCAATTCTATAACATTTTTTAACACATTACCTGAAAAAAAAACAGGGCACATTAGGCCAACTTGAAAGGTAAATAAAGGCGGCTGCACAATTACACGGGAACGCTAACGAAAACGAGAACGGAAACTAAAACGAAAACGAGAAGATTCACAAGTTTCACAATTAACATAATTATTTTAATTCTTAGGTTAATATATTTTGGGGATATTTAATTTATTTGGTATTTATAATAGAAATATACGTACGATCATACTGCAGATGTTCAGCTATTAAAAGCTAACTATTTTTCTTTAATAATTAATCTTTATACTCTTTTAACAGGCGATCGTCCAGATGTGGGAACTTTTTTACTAATAAAATAATTAATTCGTCGTTCATTTTCATTAATTTATTAACACAGAACGTATTGATAAAACAAATAGCGCGAATGTCAGAAATAATTTGACAGATTAAACTCATTTTCTATTGGTTTTGATAATGCTGCGTTTCTATTGGCTACCGGGAACGACAAAATTAAAACTTAACCAACTTTCTCGTTTCCGTTCGCGGGATGTTTCTCGTTCTCGTTACCGAAAATTTGTTGTGCATGTGTACATTGACTTATGTGCGTTTAATTTTTTTCTCGTTACCGTTCTCATTTTCAGCCGCTTTTTTATTTCAAATGTAACACCCGGTATGTTTTTACATAATCAAATAGTAAATTAAAAAACCTTTCGATTGATGTTCTATTTCCTATACCTATACCTAAAGTTAATAATTTCAGAGATATTTAACAATTTCTAAAATTTTAAATATTATTTTGTATCAATAAACCGGACGGGTGAGTTGACGGTATCTATGGTTACCACGTAATCTGTCATTTATCAAAATTTAATGGCGTCAATTTTTCAGGTTGTTATAAACAAACGAAAACTATTTACTTTAGGTATAGGACATGGTATAGTAATTTTACTCAGAATTTTATGTAGAATTTAAAAATGTAAAATATATGGGGGTGTCCCATTTAAAATAAGAAAGTTAATGACACTTCCGGTTAAACAGGAAGTGGCATTTTGTATTCTAGAAAAAATGGATTACAAACGCTTTTAAAATTTTAAATCGAAATATTTTTTTGTTCCCCAGAAACGTCCATTTTCCTTTTTATGTATAAAGAAAAGTCTTGCGCTAGCTAATAAAAATGTTCTGCATTAATTAATTCATTCATTTATTTTATTGATTAAAATTAGTAAAATATTTGTCGACGGTAAATTTACTAATAATAATATTAAAATGTATGTCATGTTTTGAATTCAAATAAAAACAAAGCATTCAAACCAATTCAGCCGAGCGCGGCTTCGACTCATCAGGCGCGGAGCCTTGCAGTAAAAAATTAATAAAGTTTAAAGTAATGCCGGGCAGTGAAATTTTTTTCAGGATATGAAACCTTAATATCCAGTACATGTAAGCATGAAAAAAAAACTTGATTATTTGATATAAACTTAAAAATTTTAATTGTAGGTATATTTCGTTGATCAAAAAAAGTATAAAAAGTTTTTTAAAAAAATGTTTTTTATTTGTTTATAAAAATACATATATTAGCCTATAAGTTCTAAAAATTTCACTACGAAACTTTCAACAGTTTTTTCACAATTAATTTTTTAATTAAAAGTGAGAAAATCTTTGTTACAAAAAAACTCTGTTAAAATTATAATTAAAGAAAAAATATTTTAAGGAAATATTTTTATTAATGACTAATAACGATTGATGTATTAAAATTTAAATTCTATTACCAAGTGAAAAATGGGGGGTCCACTTGACGTGATCTGGCTCAATGAAAAAATTGCAGCTTACTTTTTTCAAACTAGTGTAATGGGACGATATATGGGGCAGTTAATTTTTAACATTTCTTAATTTATTATTTTAATACTCTGCGAAATATTA